CGGGACCGCAGTGGAGAAGGTGGAAAGCTTCAAGTTCCTTGGCATACACATCACTGACTGACTAAAATGGTCCACCCACACAGACAGTGTGGTGAAGAAGGTGCAACAGAGCCTCTTCAACCTCAGGAGGCTGAAGAAATTTTGCTTGGCACCTAAAACCCTCACAAACTTTTACAGATGCACAATTGAGAGCATCCTGTTGGGCTGTATCACCGCCTGGTACAGCAACTGCGCCGCCCCCAACCGCAGGGCTCTCCAGACAGTGCTGCGGTCTGCCGAACGCATTACCGGTGGCAAACTACCTGCCCTCCAGGACACCCACAGCACCCAATGTCACAGGAAGGCCAAAAAGATCATCAAGGACATCAACCACCCGAGCCGCTGCCTGTTCACCCCGCTATCATCCAGAAGGCGAGATCAGTACAGGTGCATCAAAGCTGGGACAGAGAGAATGAAAAACAGCTTCTATCTCAAGGCCATGAGACTGTTAAATAGCCATCACTAGCACATTACAGGCTGCTGCTGCCTATTGAAATCACTGGCCACTTTAAGAAATGGAACACTAGTCACGTTAATAATGTTTACATATCTTGCATTATTCATCTCATATGTATATACTGTATTCTATAATATTCTACTGTATCTTAGCCCATGCCGCTCTGTCATTGCTTGTCCATATATGTATATATTCTTTATTCCATTCCTTACTTAGATTTGTGTGTATTGAGTATATGTTGTGAAATTGTTAGATATTACTTGTTAGATATTACAGCACTGTCGGAGCTAGAAACACAAGCATTTCGCCACACCCGCAATAACATCTGCTAAACACGTGTACGTGACAAATAAGATTTGATTTGAGTAAAGGGTCTGAATACTTATGTACATTTGATATCTGTTTTTTATTTTTAATACATTTGCAAAAATGTCTAGAAACAGTTTTTTGCTTTGTCATTATGGGGTATTGTGTGTAGATTGATGAGTTGGAAAAAATACAATTTAATACATTTTAGAATAAGGCTGTAATGTAACAAAATGTGGAAAAGGTCAAGGGGTTTGAGTACTTTCCGAATGCACTGTATTTGGGCCTTTTAGTCCTACTGGAGCATAGTTCATGGAGGAAACTTTTAGTATCATATGGGACACGTTTTACCATTCTTTAAGTCTCATTTTAGAAGATTATTGAGCGACATACAGTGGTGCTGGGTGGCTCAGCTGGATGAGCATGGTGCTTGCAATGCCAGGATCATGGGTTCAATTCCTGATGGGGCCATCCATTTGAAAAGTATGCAAGCATGATTGTAAGCTGCCTAAAGGTATGTCAAAACTCAATTTGTCCTTATAGCTGTTGCTCATTAGGCCCTGAGAGTTCACACCCAAGGTCAGGAATAGATCTCACACATTGTGTGAGGGTATTTTCTGCACATGTGGCTCTATGTTTAAGGAGAGTGGCTTTTCTGAGCTCATGCTGCCTGTGTCTATTCCTTGAGAGACACTGGTCTCCCATTTTTTAAAACATTTTTGTCATTTAGCAGACGTTCTTGTCCAGAGTGACTTACAGGAGCAATTAGGGTTAAGTGCCTTGCTCAAGGGCACATCAAAAGATTTTTCACCAAGTCGGCTTGGGATTCAAACCAACTATCTTTTGGTTACTGGCCCAACGCTCTTAACCGCTGGCTACCTGCCGCCCTACCTCCCCTGGCTGAAATTCACTCCCACAGTGACGCAACAGAACATTTCCACCTCAGAGACCTCTGAGGTTCAGCCTAACATAACCAACAAGATCTCACGGTTTTACCCATTTGACTTCAGATTCTGACATTTATCTACGTTTCTCCTAACGTCAAATTTCGAAGAGTTTTTAAAACCCTGTTGACTCATCCTGCTCAGCATCGCTCCATTTCTCCAAAAGTAAAACTTAGAAGTTAATGTTTAAGGTTTTGGATAGGGTTAAAACATTACGTTTAGGCATTCATTCTGAATGGTTAAGTTAAGGGTTAAGGTTTGGGATAGGAGTTAAAACCAAAAAAGAAAAAATGTGTGTCTACCACTGGAATTGAACATGGGACTTTCAGATCTGGAGTCATGGGGCTTTATGTATCTGCCACCCCAATCCACAGAGATGGTAATAGCGCTCACTGTTGCCCCTAGTGGCTGGTTTTGAAGGCATTTCCCAATGTCCTCAGGACATGAACAGACATCAATCTTGAGCGATATGCCTGAACATAACATCCCCATCTCTCTCTCTCCCTACACACATGGACATGACAACATGCAAAACAATCAAACCAATTGCTTTATCTAACCTGTTATACAAAGACCCAATTTGTGAATGAAAAACATAAGGTTTTAATAAGTAACCAGGCTGAAATGACAATCAGATTCTAGCTGCTTGTCTTAAGGACCTGTATACCTGATACTGTAGTTGGCTGTCTCTCTGGGTGTAATCATATTTAACTGCTGCGTTGTTAAGTTGCTATGCAGAAGAATCTATGTGTCAGGGCCAAGAAAACAAACAACTGCTGTGTGATTTGTGCTGCTGATGGAAATATCTTTATCAAAGAGCACATAGAACTCTACTGTGGATAATAGGTCTTTAAAGAAATAAGGAGAGGGGAGGACAGAGAGAGATAGAGAGAGAGACCCACAAACAGATAACTGCCTACTTTTATTATACTTTATTATACATTACCCTTATAGCTGCCATTTTAGCCAACTTAGCGGATGGCTAAGTTAGCATCCCTATGGTCTTCCTCAGACCTGAAGTAGGTTGTAAATTGGCTTTTCATGGTCAGTGAAATTGACAGTGCCTCTGGAATATGTTGTCTTATTGTGCAGAGGTTACTGGAGTTTGTGTCCCAGGTTGGGAAGAAAGAGACAGAACCCACTCTGTTGTGTGCAGAAATGCATGTCTCCCCTTACACAACTAAGCAACAAATTAGACGGGAAACATTTGAATGCGCAACATTCATTAATGAGTGCTCCTTCAGCAGTGTAGGGAGATGGGCTGCGGTGGGGGGATAATTAATTGGCCCTGGTTGGTGTCCATGGGGAGGTGTCAAACATTGAACATGGCCTTGTGAATCAAAGGTTTAGCTGCAGAGGAGAATCTCAAGGGATTTCCCTAATCTTTTTGATATGTTCACTGAGCGTCTGCAAAGTGACCTGGTGAAACTTCTGACATGACACTGTCATATTACTAGTATGTTATGTAATACATCCACTATTTAAATTATAGATCTGATACACACTTGTGGTTGATGTTTAGATTTCTAATGCTCAAGCATAGTTTCACTTTTATGATATTTTAAAGTAACTGTTATGCCATGCCAGTGAACTGAAGTGGTTTTAAACAGCGCCAATGGAAATAAGTCTGTTGACTTTGTGTTTTGAATCCTCAATTATTTTTAATGTGTGTATTGTTGTATTCGGCTGAGACAACTCCATCTATTTTAAATTAGTCAAATAAATAAATGTATTCATATTTGGCTATGGTTTGACAGATTTTCATTTGATGAAGAGTACAAACGCGAGTTCCACTTTTAACCAGCAGGTGGAGTTTCTGTGCCTCAATGAGAAGTTTTATCAATGTCTCAATTCAGAAATCAGAGCATCAGCCCATTTACCATTTCGGTAACACTTTCTATGAAGCCTATATGCATAATGCATTATACATGTACTCATAATGCACTATGATAGAGTAATAATGCAGTAAAAGCATAGTTATAGACGCACATAAAGACTTATAATTCTGTATACCAATACACATAATGCATTATGAATATAATCATAATCACTCATAATATACAGCAACATAGTGCTTCATAATTGCTGGCATTACGCATATGGCTTCATAGAAAGTGTTTCCATAAATGTACCACTTCACCACAATTCTTTTATTTTAAAATAATGCCATGTGTTTTGCCCAAATATTGCCCCTTTATTAGTAGCCTACAGCGGTAAAGTATTAGAGTTCAGTTTAAAATCAAGATTTGATCTGCGATTTATGACATCAATGCCTCCCTGGGAGGCTTTTGTTAATAGGCTTTGTTTACTGGGGAGTGTTGGTGCAATGTTAGTTTCCAGGTAACTGTTACTAAGGTATACTAAGGTATAACAGTTACCTTCCAGGTAACTGTTACTAAGGTATATATAATAATATGCCGTACGTAAAAATGTATGCACACATGACTGTAAGTCGCTTTGGATAAAAGCGTCTGCTAAATGGCATATTATTATTATATTATTATTATTATTATTATAAGGTTATTACTTGTTGCTCTTCAGTAACTAGAAAACTACATGAAAATGATGTAGCCTGTTTTGACTTATAAGAGTGAGTGTAAAAATGGGTCAGTAACAATAACTTCAAAGATGTTATGACCTTAAACGGGTAATATCTTGGCCTTGCTGGCAGTCCACTAGCTGCATACTTGCATGACACATAAAAGCCAAGCAGAAATTGGTTGAATATATATCTCCAATATTTGAAATACTTGAGTATTAATGCAGTTTTCGCACTATTCCATTGGTTCCATTGTACCTGACAAGCTAAATCAAGCGCACTTCAAGTGTTTCAAACATGATAAATATGTTGGCTATTTGGGTCTGAATCCAAGGTCATAACACTAAAAAGGACGGTCTCTATATTAGGTAGAAATTAAAATAGACTACAATGCCTTTCTGCCCACAGACAGAGGGGGATTTTTATACCTTCTGTATTATATCATAACCATTTAATAGAAGACTTCCAATGTAGAAAAAAAAATGATACTTTTTTGTGGAGAATCACTTCACAAGGCTCATGAAGACGTTTATATTCTCACTCTTTCAACAGGTCCTCTAATGCCTCTCCCTCCCTTTGTGGAACTTGTTAAGCAAGCAGAATGTTTGAAGACGTTCATTCATCTCTTCTCTATGCCGTTGCTGTCATGGCAACCTGGGTATGACAGGCTGAAAACAGACTGCAGTCTGTCTGAGCTTTGTATGCAGTGGCTAGACTTGAGCAAGGCAGAGAAGGCTGTGTGTGGGGCATCCGGCGGTGCTTTGCTGGAGGTAGGTTACAGTAAGTTGACAGTTGACAGTGGTTCTACTAGCTATCAGAAGTGGTAGGAAACAGACTAAAAACAACAGCACCTCTCCGAGCGAGCTCCATATGCAGTAGATAGAGAAGGCAACAGGTCAGGGATAACAGTGTAGGACAATTCTTAGGTTGACTGGAGGTTAGACTGGGACCAATAGTGCAGGTACTGCAGCCATGCAACACCAGTCGTACCAGCCACTGCTTCTCACTGGAAACAAATACCTGCAACAGAAGTGGGACAAGGCCTCCTATGAAATACATCTGAGAAAGGTAAGAGAAAGCTGCTTTGATGCTAAAATCAAAGGCTAACAACAATGTTGGCGCTATCCTTAACGTAGTGACAATATTCATTTAACATTGTTCTTTTTTTTGTCAAGGTCAAATCAGCGAAACCCACCATCGACACAACTGCACCTAAAACCTATGGTCATCTTGCCCTCAAAATGAAGAAACAGAAGGTGATAAAGGATCTCTAAGTCGTGTCATTTCACCATGTATCCAGCAAAGAGTCCTTTTTCTGAACTATTGAGCTGGAAATGTTCATTTTGAGAAAGCTCACCAATAAGTCTGTCCCAGGCTTCCTTGAACATTCCATGTTGCATATTGCAACCTTAGCAGTTGTTACCTTGTATTTTGTTGTTGCTGTTTTGGTTGGCTTTACTTGTTTTTCTCTATTTCTTAATGTTTCGCCATCAAGCTTGAGGAGCAAAGCATGTCCAAAATTCAGAGGGAAAACAACATGCTGCTTGAGAAAATATCTCGCATCATGAAGACTACTGGTCACATCGACAACAGGAACGACTATGAAAACAAAAGGTATAGTGTTTACCTCCAGTCTCTTCAGGGGTGTGGCTTTAAATCCCACTGCTGACACAAATATTAATTTGTAACAGCTAAACACTGGTGGAAAAAGTAACCAATTGTCATACTTGAGTAAAAGTAAAGATACCTTAATAGAAGTAAAAGTGAAAGACACCCAGTAAAATACTACTTGAGTAAAAATCTAAAAGTATTTGGTTTTAAATATACTTAGGTATCGACAGTAAATATAATTGCTAAAATATACTTAAGTATCAAAAGTAGAAGTATAAATAATTTCAAATTCCTTATGTTAAAGGAAAACTCCACTCAAAAATGATATATTGGTATTTGTTTCATTAGTTCATTGTTGACATAGTCCCAAAATGTTTTGCTTGTCAAAATGCATCATACGGGGATGATTTCTATATTTTGAAAGTTACAAATCTTGAAAACTTGATTGCTGACAAGCAAACATTTTGGAAATATGTCAACAATGGACTAATGAAACAAATACCAAAATATAGTTTTTGGGTGGAATTGTCCTTTAAGCAAACCCGATGGCACCATTTTCTTGTTTTTTAAATTTACGGATAGCTAGGGGTACCTTCCAACACCCAGACATAATTTACAAACGAAGGATGTGTGTTTAGTGAGTCCACCAGATCAGAGGCAGTAGGGATGACCAGGAATGTTCTCTTGATAAGTGCGTGAATTGGTGATAAGTGCTTTCTTCTGTCCTGCTAATAAGCATTCAAAATGTAACGAGTACTTTTGGGTGTATGGAGTAAAAAGTACATTTTTTGGGGGGGGGAATGTAGTGAAGTAAAAGTTGTCATATATAAATAGTAAAGTACAGATACCCCAAAAAACTACTTAAGTACTGTACACCACTGCAGCTAAAGCAGGTGTGGACCCACTCAACTTGCACAAGGCAAACACATTACATGTGCCATAATTGTCTAGACCTTTTGGCAGAGGCAGTAGTATGCTTACATTCAGGGAGGCTTCACCAGGTCCTAAAATGTCCATGTTCATAGACTTAGCATCCTACTGTACACCACAACTCAATGGCCAACACACAATAGAAAACCTGTTTTTCCCTTGTAATGGTAGTCTCTGCAGAGAGATGCAACAGCAAGAGTGGCTCCGTATCACCAAAGAGAACCAGTTAATCCTTCTTCGTCTGACCCAGTGCCAGCCTCACTACAGCATTAAGGACTGGCATGAGGACTGGCTCAAGACAATCAAGATCATGGAGAGCATTGCACGATATCCACGAAGAGTTAGTGACAAAAAGGTGAGTTCTGTGCATCACGTACAGGTGATTGGGAGATCTAACTAAAAACATAAAATATTATTGAAATGTATATTAATGGCCCAATGCAGTCAAAAATGTATTTCCACACTATGAGATTGGAATAATACTGTGAAATTGTGAAAATTATGATAATGCCCTTTCAGTGTAACAGCTGTTTGAAAAGACCAACTGAGTGTGAGGAGGGGGAGGAAGAACCTGATCAACAGGAAGAGGAGGCGGGCATGTAGGAAACACCTGAGTCACCTGACACACCAAACAAAGGTCCTACATCTGAAAGTCAAAACCTGACCCCCCTCACACACCTGACACACTAAGCACATCTAGCAGACCTGACTCACCAGGCAAAGACTGAGAATAGGTTTAAGCACAAGGACATTATAGAGGGTTGAAGTAATTTTCTGGCTATTTGGTAGATTATTTGCATTTGAAAATGTAATACTGGCTTGTATTAAAGGAATGTATAACTTCTCGTATTGGGATCAGATGCCTTTGCCACCTTTATGCGAAATCAATGCATAATGCATGTTAGCTACACAATAAAAAGCGTCAGTGATTATATCATAAGAAGACGGTAAGTTGCCTTTGAAAGGGGTGGGCTAGAACAAAATTGACCCTTTTTTAAAGACATTAGCAGCCTACCATAACTTCACAAGAAGATTAAATTAGGCTACAAGGCTAACACATTTGCACAATTAAAACTACAGTAACTGTTCATCTTTTGGTTGAGGTTTTATGGTCAAGTCAAATGCAGCCTATTATCACCAGGTAGAATAAAAAACATATGTTTTATCAACACCAGCTGTATAACAACTTTAATTGTTTACGATATTGCTATGTCCAACTAACTACTGTTTTAATATCAACACCAATGTATAACAACCTGAAATTGGTTACGACATTGTTAAAGCGGAACAATGGAACATTTTAGAAATTTGTCCAAGTACCTAAACCTGTCTGTCACAGTAAGAAACTCTCTCAGTGTCACGAGGTTATGCAGCCCTCTGATGATTCTGACAGCTTTTTGAGCACATTCTTACCACAATTCTATGAATAATTCATCATCTTTATATATCTGGCACACCTGGCTCATTTGGTTGTGTATTCTACATCACTATGAACATTTGAAGATATTATTGGGCATACTACAATTATATTTCATTCAGGTATGGTCATGTGAAATGGATCCAATAAGATGCCATTGAGTTGATTGGCGGCCATATTGGAAAAAGGCTTCTATGGGGTTAATACATGAATCCTGTGAAGGCCCTGTTTCTACAACTCTTTTAAAAACCCTGTTCTAGCTTTGTTTGTGAAATGTGGTGCTTCTATCACCCAAGTTACAATCCAAAAACATAGCTGCTCCACTACATGGAATTATATGGCTAACACGGCGAGTGGAGTTTAGACCAAAAAGCTCTATTATATATATATATATATATATATATATATATATATATATATATATATCTCATCAGACCACATGACCTTCTCCCATTCCTCCTCTGGATCATCCAGATGGTCATTGGCAAACTTCAGACGGGCCTGGACATGCGCTGGCTTGAGCAGGGGGACTTTGCGTGCGCTGCAGGATTTTAATCCATGACGGCGTAGTGTGTTACTAATGGTTTTCTTTGAGACTGTGGTCCCAGCTCTCTTCAGGTCATTGACCAGGTCCTGCCGTGTAGTTCTGGGCTGCTCCCTCACCTTCCTCATGATCATTGATGCCCCACGAGGTGAGATCTTGCATGGAGCCCCAGACCGAGGGTGATTGATTGTCATCTTGAACTTCTTCAATTTTCTAATAATTGCTCCAACAGTTGTTGCCTTCTCACTAAGCTGCTTGCCTATTGTCCTGTAGCCCATCCCAGCCTTGTGCAGGTCTACAATTTTATCCCTGATGTCCTTACACAGCTCTCTGGTCTTGGCCATTGTGGAGAGGTTGGAGTCTGTTTGATTGAGTGTGTGGACAGGTGTCTTTTATACAGGTAACGAGTTCAAACAGGTGCAGTTAATACAGGTAATGAGTGGAGAACAGGATGGCTTCTTAAAGAAAAACTAACAGGTCTGTGAGAGCCGGAATTCTTACTGGTTGGTAGGTGATCAAATACTTATGTCATGCAATAAAATGCAAATTAATTAGTTAAAAATCATACAATGTGATTATCTGGATTTTTGTTTTAGATTCCGTCTCTCACAGTTGAAGTGTACCTATGATAAAAAATTACAGACCTCTACATGCTTTGTAAGTAGGAAAACCTGCAAAATCGGCAGTGTATCAAATACTTGTTCTCCCCACTGTAGGTATAGTTTATCAAACTTTTTAAGAATTTGAAGTTGGGATAGCCTGAATGTTTTCAAGTTGATCTTGTAACTTAATTGGCCAATGAACAGGTCCATTTTGAAAAGCTACTCCCATATTCCTATGGTTCTCATTTAAACCCATATTAATTTATGTATAGTTATAGTATACATAGTATACATAAATATATCCTTTGACAAGCAATCTAAGTTGGGCCAGTCTGAACATCTTAACGTTGCTTTGGAGTTGATAACTTAAACACTGAAAGAGGAGATAGGTCTAGAATTGTTTCTTTTTTTACCATTCAAGTCAATGACCCCTTTTTTCCCATTGAAATGCATTTGGAGATCATTTAAATATGTGACGACTGCCTCGATTCGGTCTTATGTAGCAACATTTGAAATTGTGTTTTTTACATTGGATAAAAGTAGAGACTCAGAGCTAGAAAATGGTATATCATACACTGCAGTTGAGGAACAATGAGAAAGTAATTCTGCTTTAAAAGTTGATAAACATGTAACACCACTTTTGAGAATATAGTCCTTGAATATTTTGGTACACCTACTGGAAAGCTCTTCTTTGTCTACACCCATTCAGCATTGTCACATCCTCTTAAGCCTTAGCCCCACCCATCTCTTTAAGGATTCACATGTGAGGCCATGTGGTAAACACACGCTATATATAATAAAATCTAAGTTTATTTGTCACATGCACAGGATACAGGAGGTGTAAACGGTTCAGTGAAGAAGTTACTTGCATAGTAGCAATATAAAAAACAAAGTGTCCAGATAAAAATATTGTATATTTGATCATTATTAGATTACGCTCTCCACCATGGCCAAGACCAAAGAGCTCTCCAAGGATGTCAGGGACAAGATTGTAAATATTTGATCATTATTAGATTACGCTTACCCGACACACTTGTCTAAATTGATGGGACATTTGAAGGAAATGCTATAACCCCCCCCACCCAGATACATCTAGCTAAGTGGATGGGTCACTATTGTCTAGACATGTACACATGTTCATGAAATACAATAGATGGCCGTAATAACCCCCAGACACACCTGGCTAATTTGGTGGGTCATGTAATAATCTGTCCGAAGTGGAGTCTTTTGTTTAGACATGTAGGTAGCTAGCTAAACAATGAACCGGAATAATCCCAACTCATACTACTACCAATACAAACATTGTCATAGCTGTAGTATAAATATGCAGGTAGCTAAAGCTAACAAACTAGGTTCAATGTTAGCTAGCTAACATCAGGCTATAAATAGCAATGCAAATGGATTTCTGATTAGAATAATATTACTACACAGATCATACACGTAAAGTTAGCTAGCGAGCCAGCAAGCTAATGTTTTCAAGCTAACGAACAGCATGCTTTAACTTACAAAATTATAAATGTTTATCTGAAAATATAGCTAGACTCTTACCCATATACAGTGAGGGAAAAAAAGTATTTGATCCCCTGCTGATTTTGTACGTTTGCCCACTGACAAAGAAATTATAAGTCTATACTTTTAATGGTAGGTTTATTTGAACAGTGAGAGACAGAATAACAACAAAAAAATCCAGAAAAACGCATGTCAAAAATGTTATAAACTAATTAGCATTTTAATGAGGGAAATAAGTATTTGACCCCCTCTCAATCAGAAAGATGTCTGGCTCCCAGGTGTCTTTTATACAGGTAACGAGCTGAGATTAGGAGCACACTCTTAAAGGGAGCGCTCCTAATCTCAGTTTGTTACCTTTATAAAAGACATCTGTCCACAGAAGCAATCAATCAATCAGATTCCAAACTCTCCACCATGGCCAAGACCAAAGAGCTCTCCAAGGATGTCAGGGACAAGATTGTAGACCTACACAAGGCTGGAATGGGCTACAAGACCATCGCCAAGCAGCTTGGTGAGAAGGTGACAACAGTTGGTGCGATTATTCGCAAATGGAAGAAACACAAAATAACTGTCAATCTCCCTCGGCCTGGGGATCCATGCAAGATCTCACCTCGTGGAGTTGCAATGATCATGAGAACGGTGAGGAATCAGCCCAGAACTATACGGGAGGATCTTGTCAATGATCTCAAGGCAGCTGGGACCATAGTCACCAAGAAAACAATTGGTAACACATTACGCCGTGAAGGACTGAAATCCTGCAGCGCCCGCAAGGTCCCCCTGCTCAAGAAAGCACATATACAGGCCCGTCTGAAGTTTGCCAATGAACATCTGAATGATTCAGAGGAGAACTGGGTGAAAGTGTTGTGGTCAGATGAGACCAAAATTGAGCTCTTTGGCATCAACTCAACTCGCCGTGTTTGGAGGAGGAGGAATGCTGCCTATGACCCCAAGAACACCATCCCCACCGTCAAACATGGAGGTGGAAACATTATGCTTTGGGGGTGTTTTTCTGCTAAGGGGACAGGACAACTTCACCGCATCAAAGGGACGATGGACGGGGCCATGTACCGTCAAATCTTGGGTGAAAACCTCCTTCCCTCAGCCAGGGCATTGCAAATGGGTCCTGGATGGGTATTCCAGCATGACAATGACCCAAAACACACGGCCAAGGCAACAAAGGAGTTGCTCAAGAAGAAGCATATTAAGGTCCTGGATTGGCCTAGCCAGTCTCCAGACCTTAATCCCATAGAAAATATGTGGAGGGAGCTGAAGGTTCGAGTTGCCAAACGTCAGCCTCGAAACCTTAATGACTTGGAGAAGATCTGCAAAGAGGAGTGGGACAAAATCCCTCCTGAGATGTGTGCAAACCTGGTGGCCAACTACAAGAAACGTCTGTCCTCTGTGTTTGCCAACAAGGGTTTTGCCACCAAGTACTAAGTCATGTTTTGCAGAGGGGTCAAATACTTATTTCCCTCATTAAAATGCAAATCAATTTATAACATTTTTGACATGCGTTTTTCTGGATGTCTTTGTTGTTATTCTGTCTCTCACTGTTCAAATAAACATACCATTAAAATTATATACTGATCATGTCTTTGTCAGTGGGAAAACGTACAAAATTAGCAGGGGATCAAATACTTTTTTCCCTCACTGTACATGGATGAACGCTTCACGGCAGTTTGGAACCATTTAA